GGGAAGAAGGCAGGGGAGTGGAGAAAAATGCTATTGTTTTTAACAGCTGAGTAATACACCATTATGTAAATGCACCATATTTTCTGTAACCATTCTTCAGTTGAGGGACATCTAGATAGTTGCCAGGTTCTGGCTATTGCTGTGGTATAATGCATTTGTACACTGCAAAGATTTGTCACTCATATTGGTTTAATAAAAAACTGATTGAACAGTAACCAAGGAGGAAGTATATGCTGGATAACCAGAATAAGAGAATTCTGGGAAGATAAAAGGAAGAGACATAGTCACCCACCAGACACAGAGAAAACAAGATAAGGACTCTGCACTGAGAAAAGGTACCAAGCAACATGGCTAAACATAGATAAGAATTATGGGTTAAATTAAGTCATAAGAGGTAGTTACTAATAAGTCTGAACAACAGGCCAAAGAGTTTATAATTAATATAAGCCTCTGTGTGTTTCTTTGGGTCTGAACAGCTGCAGGATGCGGGGGGTGGGGTGGGGGCAGAAACTTCCATCTACAAATGGCACCCAAATGTCTGGTGAGAATTTTCACATAAAAAGTCTGAGAAAGTTCTAAAAACAATGGGTGTGGGTTCTAGAAAGACAAGAACAGAGTGAAGCACAGCTTCGTGGTAACCATCTTTTCTATGGTAGGCTCTGTTTGCTAGTGGCAAGCAGAGGCGTTGCTCCTTTAAGAGAGCTTTCATGACTAAATATTAGCAGCAAAAGCCTCACAGTTCTTTTAAGAGGCCCTGTAACCAAACACTTAAATGGTGTTTATGAGCAGCTGGTGGCATGCTTCTTGGTAGTGTGGCAGGACCTCAAAATTCCACAGAGTTGTAGCAATAAACATGACTCCTGCCAGTACCTCCATCATTAAGCTAGACTTTCAGAAAGCTAAGGAATGAGGTGAAGCCAGCCACCAAAGCGGTAGCCCTAATCCTAGCCATATCACTCAGCAGATTAAAGACTCATGTGCTCAGAAAAAGATAGAGATATACATTAAATAAATACAGATTCAGATTAAAAAAAAACTTCTAAAGAGTGATCTAATTTTGTCTCTATTAGTGCCTGAACAATTTGTGCTCTGTTCAGGAAGTTGTCTCCTATGCCAATGAGTTAAAGGATATTTCCCACTTCCTATCCTATCAGGCTTAGTGTATCTGGATTTATGTTAAGGTCTTTGATCCACTTGCACTTGAGATTTATCTAGGGTGACATATATGGACCTATTTGCCTTCTATATGCCAAAATTAAGTTAGACCAGCACCATTTGTTGAAGATGCTTTCTTTTTGTCATTGTATATTTCTGGATATTTTAATCACAAATATATTGTCCTTAGGTATGTAGATTTACATCTGGGTCTTCAGTTAGATTCCTTACATCAATGTGTGTGTGTGTTTTAATGCCAATACCATGCAGGTTTTTAATTATTGCAGCTCTGTAGTACAGTTTGATATCAGGGATGGTGATACCTCCAAGAAGTTCTTTTATTTTATAGAGTTATTTTAGCTAGGCTGAGATATTTGCTTTTCCATATAAAGTTGAGTATTATTTCAAGTTCTGCAGATAATTGTGCTAGAATTTAAATGGAGATTGTGTTGATTCACTGCATTGCTTTTGATAGGATGACCATCTTTGCTATGTTAATTCTACAGATCCATGAACATGGGATGTCTTTCTATCTTCTGATATTTTCAATTTCCTTCTTTGAAGACTTATTTGTTATTATACAGGTCTTTCACTTGTTTGGTTAATGCAACTCCTAGAAACTTTTTTATTATTTGTGGCTATTGTTTTTTTAACCTGGTTTCTTTCTTATTCTCTTTGTCATTTGCACATAGGAGAGATACTAACTTTTTAAACTTGTTCCTCCTCCTCACTGAAAGTGTATATCAGCTGTAGCTCTTCCATGGTAGAATGATTAGTATCACTTATATATACTATCATATGATAGTATACATTTGTAAATTTTGAATTTAACTTTCTCCTTTCTAATTTGTATCACTTGATCTCTTTTGGTTGTGTTATTGCTCTGGATAGAACTTCAAGTACTACATTAGATAGATATGGATAGAGTGGACCTTGTCTTATGCCTGATTTAATTGGAATTGTTTGAGCTTTCTCCATTTAATTTGATTTTGACTATAGGCTTGCTGTATATTATCCTTATTATGTTTAAGAATGTCATTTATAGCCTTTATCTTTCAAAGACTTTATCATGAAGGGATGTTGGATTTTATTAAAGCCTTTTGAAGCATCTAACGAGATGAGTATATCTTTTCTTTTAGTTTGTTCATATGCAGGATCATACTGACAGATTTTCATATGTGGAAACATCCCTGAATCAATAGACTGAAGGCTACATGATCATGATGGATTATCTTCTGGTATGTTTTGTAGTTTAGCTTTTATTTTATTGAATATATTTGTATCTATGTTAATGAGGAATATTGGTCTGTAATTATCTGTCTTTGTTGGGTATTTGTGTGGCTTGAATATTTGGATGACTGTGGCCTCATAAAATGAATTTTGCAAAGTTCCTTCTGTTTCTATTATGAAGAATAATTTGCAGAGTATTGACATTAAGTCTTATCTGAAAGTCTGGAGAATTATGCCCTGAAACCATAGGGCCTGGCTTTCTTTCTTTCTTTTTTCTTTCTTTCTTTCATTCTTTTTTGGTTGGGAGACTTTTGATAACTGATTGTATTTTCCTGGGGGAATATAGTAGGAGGCTGTTTATTCATCCTGGCCACCCGGAATAGAAATAACCATACAGAAACTTTATTAATTAAATCACCACTTGGCCCATTAGCTCTAACTTCTTACTGGCTAACTCTTACATCTTAATTTAAACCATTTCTAGTAATCTGTGCATTGCCATATGGCTATGGCTTACTGGCAAGATTCCAACCAGTGCCTGTCTCTTGCGGAGTTACATGGCTTCTCTCCAAATGCCACCTTCCTGCTCCTAGTACTCACTTTAGTTTTCCCCTTCCTCTGTTCTGCCCTGCTCTGCTATAGGCTCAAGGCAGTTTCTTTATTCACCAATGGTATTCACAGCATATAGAGGGGAATACCACATCAGTTATATGTTTATTTAATTTGTTTATCTGATCTTTACTTAAGATTGCTGAGTGGTGTCTATCAAGAAAATTGCCCATTTCTTTTAGATTTCCCAATTTCATGAAGTACATGTCTTTTGAAGTATGAGCTAGTGATATTTATGTCTGTTGTTATGTCTTTCTTTTCTGATTTTGGTAATTTGGGTATTTTCTCTTTCTTTTTCTCAGTTTTTATAATGGTGTGTCTATCTTATTGATTAAGCTTTTATTTGGTTAATTCTTTGTAGCTTATATGGAAAAGCAAATATCTCAGCCTAGCTAAAATAACTCTATAAAATAAAAGAACTTCTTGGAGGTATCACCATCCGTGATATCAAACTGTACTACAGAGCTGCAATAATTAACTTCACCCCTGGTTTTGACTATTTTGTGCTTTCATTTCTGTTGGGTATATTTGCTTCTTTTGTTCTAGAGCTTTCAGATGTGCTGTTAGGTTACTAATGTGAAATCTCTGCAATTTTTTATGAAGGCATTTAATACTGTGAACTTCCCTATTAGCATCACTGTCATAGTGTCTCACAGGTTTGGCTATGTCTCACACCCATTTTTATAGAGTTTTAGGAAGTCTTTATTTTCTTTATTTCTGCCTTTACATGGTAGTAAGGAACTAACAAGGCTCCATCTATGAAACATAAAGAATCAATGTCAGCATGCAATTTTTCCTCTCATACTGTTATATAGATCAGAGAGGCATAAACTATGTTTCCCCTGCTTCAGCTTTGTAATTAGCTGGGATTTCCACCCTGCGTTAACTGGTAAATGCTTTGTGTATTATTTATATCCTTATTTCTAATTTGAAATGTGTTGTTTTCTTTGTATATTCTCAATGTAATGATGAAGTCATAGATTTAGAAAGTTTTTTTGATCTACTTACTGTTCTGTACAGGAAATCATAATAACCCAAGACTTTCTAAGAAGCTCTGATGAAAGGACAATGGTAACTTTAGTTCTATGTTCTTGTCCAAGATCAGACTTGGAGACAAGTCTAATGTTTGGGCCAGTGTTTTTCAGGAATGGATGTTGCAGCTTCTGAGGACAGGACTCTGTCTTCTTGGTTATGGTTATCATCCTTAGGAATATGTTTGAGGTTTTCCACGTTCTCTTTTCAAATATTGTATGATTGTCTCTCTGCTAACCTTGACCATTTTCCCATTGCAAATAGTATACAAGACAGAGTAGTTCTTAGTATATTTGCTTGGCATGAGACATTGACTTATTCAAGAACCTCTGGTCCAATTATTTCTTTTGTTGTCTTTAGTTCTTGTCCCTGGTCTTTCCAGTCACTGCTTGGGACCCTTATTACTGCTTATTCCTACTAGTTCTGAATTTTCCACTTTCATAGCACAATGGTCTATGGGTATTTCATCATTCAATTTACAGCTTTATTGAGGTATAATTGACCATAGGTATATATTCAGAGAAAATATTTTTGAACTTTGTGTATACATATTTACATGCATATACAATAGCGATTAATGAAAAAGGGTCATAAATTTGAAAGAGAGTCTATAAGGGTCTATGGGAATGTCTGTATGGAGGAAAGGTAAGGAAGAATTGCTGCAATTATAGTCTCAAAAGTAAAAAGAAAACAAAGAAAAGCAGAAAAACCCAGAAACTTTCTTCACTCCTATTGTCTTTCATTTTATCTATTGAGTATTGACCAAGTATTTGTCTTATTTATAAAATGCTTGGGGCATTGCTCATCTCTGTCTCAGAATCAGGTGAGTCCCCAAAGTTGCCAAAATCCCCAAGTTACATTTGCAAAATTGCTGTTCACCTGAGCATATAATTTTTTGACATCCCTGAGTACTCTTTTCTCCATTGAATATAGAGGCTAGATCTCCCTGAATGTTTAAAGAACAGAAAAGTGTCTCAAGTTGAACTTTTCTGCCTGAGAAATGTGACATTCTGCTGCCTCTGTCTAGGAGTCATGATGTGTAGTTGGGCATAGGTCACTTCATCGGGCTCCTTGGCTGCAGCAATCTGGAATGGGAGAAGGTAGAGTAAGTTCTATATTCAGCACTGGGAGCCTGGGGGTCAAGAGAGGTTAGGACCCACTGGATGATCTCTTACTTGGTCTTCTTTTGAATTTCTGTCCTTTGAGTCTAGCAATCCCTTTGGCATGAGGGAAGGAGAGATAGGCTCTGCCCTTCTGAATCTGGAAGGTTTAACCTGGGCATATAAGTCTTTGGGGTGATCTTCCTTATGCTGGCTCTGCAACAAAGGGAAAGGAAATCACAGGAAATGTATACTTGTACCCCAGATACTCTACTCCCATTCAATTTCCATGGATTAGGAGAGTAAGACTATAGACATTTAACTCAAACTATGCCATTGCTGGTGGGGTCTTCTGGAGCTTCCTAATGACTCAGTGCCTGATAGTTTCCTTCCTGAACTTCTGATGTATTATCCTGGATGGTGGCCTCACTCCATGGGCTCCAACGTTTGGAAAGAGGATGTTCCTTCTGACATAACACATGCAGCTGCCACATCCTGCTGAGATATGCTAGTCCATCACATATTTGTAATAGCCTCTTCACTCAGCCTTCTCCTCAGAAGGCTTTTTTCAGTCCTCCCTTAAAATTCACACTGATGATATGGGCCCATCAGATCATCAAATCAACCTCAACTATTTTCCTCTAATTTATTTCCCTCAAGCAATTTGCAAGGCTCACTCTCTCAGTTCTACCCAAGAGTTTGTCCTGGTGAATAGGGAATTCTGTTCTCTGCTGTATCTGCCATCCCCACAGTAAGCCTTGTCAAGAATAAGATTCAGGAAGTAGGAAGAGGAGTCAAGCCACATAGTGGTTGTTATGCAAACATTATTGAACGAGTTTGCTACCCAGTGCCCATAATTTTAAAAAGCCAAGCAAGAATGCCTATGCCTAGAACCCAAGCACTGGTAAAGATAGAATGGTGCCCAAGATTCAACACAAATGATCTAGCCAATCAATGAGCTCCAGTATCATTCAGAGGTTCAATCTCAGAAAATAGAAGAAGCCATAAAATGTTGATTTTTATCATATGTCTGTGCTTATACACATGTACACAAAACATTATCAGGTACAGAGTTCTCATATATTCTTGTATCCTGTTCATTAACTTATTAGTTTTATTGCTAAAGATTAAGCCTTATGCATCCAAAGTAATCACGTTACCATTAAGTTACAGCTTCAGACACTCACATTGTCTTGGGATTCAGGAAGTATGCTAGTAAACAGTCTGATGCTGAAGAGTCAGAAAGCAGGGGTCATATGCTCAAAACTAGGAGGATGTCATAGCACACAGAGGACAGGGGCTTCTGGAATCAAGAAGCCAGCTGTGCATAATTCTGAGTGCTGAAAAAAGGACAGTGATTGATCCCAGGGTAAACTGAGTCATAAATTCATAGCATTGAGGAAAAGAATCTTACCACACTGGCCAGCATCACATGCTCTGTAATCTCTGCGCCCTTCACAGCAGCATCTGTCATAACAGAACACACAGGTTTTCCCATGGCCAAATTCCTGGGACTTCTCACTGTCCCAGTTACCTGGCCTCTCCCAGACAGTAACATAGAAAAGGGAATGTAGTTGAAGGGTCCATAATAAGTGAGGGGAAAAGGTCCATAGTGACTTGGTTGCTCAGAGAAGTGACCCAGAACCTCTACCACCCGTCTAATGCTGAGATCTCAGATATCTCCCTCCCAGGGACCATATTTGTCTCACAGAAGATTTCTTCCTGGATACCAGCAGCTGGGCTAGAGCTGGAGAGAAAGGAGAATGTCAAATGGCAGTGAGGTTAGTCAGGAAGGTTTGTAGGTCTAGGTTGCTATCCTTGAGTTACCTCATCCGGATGCTTTTGTCCCTGATCACTGGCTCTGGAGCTTCTGCAGGATGTTGCAAGTTGGTCTCTGTTTGGACTGCAAGAAAGAGAAGAGTCTCAGTCATGAGGGTGGAGCATCCTTACCTAGCACTTTCAGGGAAGGAAGGGGCCTTTACAACTCATTGCATATGTGTATGTGTTCATATGTTCCAGGATATGGAATGTCTCACATGATACCTGATATTTCACAGGTTTCAAGATCATATTGATGATTTGAGTTTCAGAGAAGTGTTTCTAAGATGACATGTCACTGTCTGGGCTTTCCCAAGACTGCACTGAACCCCTGTTTGGAAAACCAATAGGGGGTACCCACTACTCCCTGAAACCAAGACCACCCACACCCTACTCACCTCCCTTCCTGCATTTGTTCTGGTGTCTCAGTCTGAGTAGAAGGAAGAGGGCAAGAAGGAAGAGCAGGAGAAGGAATCCTACAGAGACTCCAATCAAAATCTTCGAATATCTTGCCAGCCCTGGGATATAGGACACATCATGAACGAGGAACTGTGTGATAGGCCCATACTGATTGATTCTTTGTATTCACTACCACTTATAGCTATGCAATGTGAGACTGACTCCCACTACTCCAGTCAGTTTACCTGCTGGTCACAGAGCAGGAGGGCACAATGCTATGTGATTTAAGCTAAGAAATCCAGTCTCCAACCTAATTCCCTACACGAAACTAAGCTGCATGAACTGTAAGGAAGGAGCCTGAGTACCCTGATCTCCCTGTGTCACATACCCCTACACAATGTCACCATCACAGAGTCAGATGGGGCAAGACAGTTGCAGAAGTGGTTTCTAGAGAATTTCTCCTTATGAGAAAGACACAGATAAAGTCAGCACTAAAAGAAACTTAACATCTAGTCCAGGGCTCTCCTATTTACACTTGCAGAATCACACAGGAGGAGGGCTTGGCCATATGAACCTCTCAGAAATGACTGTAACTACCCTATAACTTGTTTGAATCAGACTCCATGGGGTGAAGTGAAGAATGGATGGGATAGGGAAATCATGGGAAGTTACATCCTGCCTTCATTTATATACTTCTCCTAGGAAAAATCTCAAATATCACTCTTTTTTAGGATGACTTTATTACATCCTAGCCTGTGAGTCTTTTTGGTTATAGAGATCATGTTGTGCTCACTGCTTGAATTCCAGTATTCTGGTCAACATACAAGCTGGTATATAAATGAAGACTTACAGGTGCTGAGGGTTTTCCCATTCTGGTATAGAAAAATTTCCCTAGACAGGAAAATCTATGGTATGTGCTTTGGGGCCCCCAGGAAAATGTTAGCAATTGGATGTATTCAATAGAAACCTGGTCTAATTATCTCAACTCTTCTCAGTCTTATGTCTACACTGAACCCTCTCCATAACCTTACAGCTGCCTACCTGAACATTCTGAATCCTGCTGAAGAGGTTGAAATGGGCATTCATTGAGGAGTTCCAGTTTGCCTCTGTATCATTGCCTAGGGAGCCCTTTATGATTAGCCCTATTCCCATCCCAGTCAAGAGCTTCCAAGGTCAAGTATTCAGTACTACCATCTGATCTCACACATTACAGGATCATCTCACCTGAGACTATGATCTCCACAGGGACACTGGAGTGTGACAACAGGTAAGGGGACGAGTTATTAGAACCAAAGCATGTATAGATGCCCCCAAGGTCTGAGATTTCAGCACTCATGGGGAATTCTGCCTCATATTGTGAATCTTGGTACTTTGATAGTTGATGCATGTAGGAATGGGATGCACCCTTCTTGAAGAGAAAGAAACTGTCCATTGGGATTGATGATTGACATAGCAGGGTCACATTCTCTCCTGAGGACACGGTGGTGCCTGGATGCACTGAGAGGTTGGGTGTGACAAGAAATTGTCCTAGAGAGAGGAAGACTGAGTGAGGGGTTATAGTCATTGTTCTGAGGTCTTCATTCATTACCTTGTCTCTATGTTTTCTCTGAATGCCATTCATCTACTCCTCTATCCCAAGATCTATTCCTCCTGAGATAATCTTCATCATCTTGATCATCAACCACTGGCATCCCCAAAGCTGAGCCTGTTCAGAGTCTGGGTCCCTAAGAGAATGCACTATGTTCCTCACCTGTGATCAGGATGTCCAAAGGGTCACTTGGGGCTGACCACTCGGAAGAGGAGATGTATGAACCATGGCATCTATACCGGCCACCAGTGGAGAATTTCACAGAACCTAAGGTGAAGTTGGCATGAGATCCTTCCACCTGTGTATAATGGGCAGCCATCTGTGGGAGGTCACTTCTACCCTCCTTGGACAGAGCAAATCTGTCATAACTCATGTCTGAGCAACACTGGAGGGTCAGATCCTCTCCAGGGGCCAGGACAGATCCTTGCTGGGTCAGCAGGGAGGGCTTCTTGGATAACCCTGGAAGAAGGATATGTGGAAAGTCATCCATCTAGCTCTTGCTAAACATTCCTGTGCTGGCTAGTTTTGTGTGAACTGACATAAGCTAGAGTCATTAGAGAAGAGGAAGCATCAGCTGAGAAAAAGCTTCCACAAAATTAGGCTACACATCCTGTATGACATTTTGTTAAGTAGAGAATGATACACGAGGGCCTAGCCCATTGTGTGTGGTACTATCACTGGGCTTATGATCATTGGTTTTATATTAAAGCAGGCTGAGAAAGCCAGTAATCAGCACCTCTCCAGGACTTCGGGTTCCTGCCCTGTTTGAGTTCCTCTACTGATTTCCTTTGAGGATAAACAGTTCTGTAAGACTATAATACAAATGAATCTTTTCTTGTACAACTTGCTTTTTGTTATGGTATTCCACTGCAACACTAGAAACCCTAACTAAGACAAATCACCCTCATATCCTGCTCTGACAATATCATGGTCTCTCGTGATCTGGGTCATAACAATCAAGAACTCCCTTCAGCCATTATAACTGGAAACATCCTCAGGGGGGGGCTAGAACTGGTGATAAAGGGTTCTCATGTCAGAAAACAATTGTGTGAATGAAACTTTTTCCTCACCTGAGACATGGATCTCCAGATGGTCACTGGCCTCTGACCACACTTGTGGGGCATTTGTATAGTATCCATAACATCTAAAGGACAGACTCTTGCTGGATGCCACAGGGATCTCAGGAAACAGAGCTGTGGATTGTCCAGTGTGTCTATACTGTGCCTTGAGGGACCTGGAGAAATTCTGATCTACCCCAGTCACAATGAAATAATCATATCCTTTTGATGAGACACATTGGAGGGTCACATTCATTCCTGAGGTCACCACAGGACTTGGAAAAACTGACAGAGTAGGTTTAACAGGGTGGACACCTAGGATAAAAGGATGCAGTCTGTGAAATGGTACCTTTGTCTCCAGCAAGTGGGCTGTGAATGAAAATGTTTGAGAGATTATTTCCTGAGGGAAAATGTAGAGGGCCCAATGTACTCATGCTGACAAATAATATGGGGGACACCAGGAATGTTACTCATGCAGGATGACTGTCCAATGGAGAAAATAAATGGCTGTTTTCCATCAAGAAGCTAGGAGTGGAGGTTTTTGATAATTAGGTGACCTTTGTATCTATAGAGCCAGACCCACCTAAATCCCCCAGAGTGTTTATCCTAGACTCTTACTCACTAGACTTTATCATTATCTCTTAGTTAATAATTCCCATCCTTAGAGAAGATGTCACATGTACCTCATAGCCTGCTGATATCTACACTGTCTCAGGGACTGCACCTGATTGAAGGCCCTTAAGCTATAGAACCTATATTCATGGTCACATGTGTTTGAGTTGAGCTTCGGTGTAATTGTGCATAGTTATTCACGGGAGTTTCAATTACATCAGGAATCTCTTTTTCAAAATTGTACTGCATTTAAATATGCTTACAATAAACCACGTGGAATCAGACTTTTTAGCTTGTGAACCAACAACTACTATGCCAGCCTGAACTGAGTTTTTCTTCTCACTTGCTGTGGGCCATTTCCCTACCAGCAGCAGAACTTGCAGTGGCCCCCACAAAAAACTGTGAAGACTGTGACCCTCGGTGTCTACTCACCTGTCACCACCAACTCCAGGGTGTCACTGTGCTGAGTCCACCCAGCAGAGTTGTAACAATAACAGCGATACCGCCCTGCATCATACTCTGTCATGGATGAGATGAAAAAATTTGCTTTGCGATCAGTGACTGGTGCAGTTAATCTGCCCAGGGGTGCTGGGCGTCCTTCTTTATGCAAGAAACATATTTGGGTTTCCATGTTTCCCTCACACCATATTGTCACCAGATTCCGTAAGGTGATCATAGAGCCTGGCTCAGCCCTGATTGTGGGTTTCTGGAGGGTCCCTGCAAAGAAGTAGGCAAGAGGAATGAGGGACTTTAAACAGTTGTACAGTGAATGTGAAACTTGTAGATGACCCTTGAATAACAGAAGGAGACATGGAGCCATCTGAATATCAGCCTCTCTCCTGACTATCCCAGGTTCCATTCTCACAACCCCACTCGTTGTTTTCTGTGTCTTGACTCCCACAGTCTGCATGCTGTAACAGTGGCCTAATGGGTCTGACTCTTCCTGTGCTGATCACACATTAAGGTCTCCCTGGGGAATCCTGTTTCAAGTTCCCTGTCAATCAATAGAGAGGCTTGGGCTTCCTCACCAGAGACTAGAATCTCCAGGATGTCACTCCCTTCTGACAAGCGCTGAGGGTTTCTTGAATAATAACCATAGCATCTTAAGCTCCATCTTTCGCTGAGTGTGATAGGACCCACTTGGAAACTGGCTGAAGACTGCCCAGTATATACATGCTGTGAGTCCATGAAGCTGAAGAACTGCTTTCCCTTGATTAAAATGAACCCATTATAATTATTATTTGAGCTACATGAGGCAGTCACAGATGATCCTAAGGTTACAACAGGGTTTGGCAGTGCATTCAGGGTGGGTTTTTTGTAGAAACCTAGAAAAGATACACATGGAATATTAAATGGGTTCACAGTCTGATTTGTCCCCAAGACTTTAGTAATGAGTAGGTATACAATAACAGACTTTTCTAATAAGTCACATCTGGGGATCCATATGATGCCTGTGTATCCACTCACCAATCGCACCAGCTTCAGTGTGTTACTGCCTTCTGACCTGACAGCAGAGTTGTAAGAGTAACAGGAATATCACCCTGCCTTCAGTTTTGTAACAGATGGGAAGATGCATTTTGCCTTATTGTGTTATTCTTTTGGGTCTGTCTGTCCCATAGCACAAACATTTGTGTTTCTCAGGTCCCCTCACACCCCGATGGTCACAGGCCTCTCTGATGTGATCAGAATGCCTGTATCAGCCCAGATGGTGGGTTCATGGAGGGTCCCCACAAAGCTGAAGAAAATGAGATGCACCTCTTATGACACTTGCACAAAGTTCACACTTGCAAATGACACTTAAGCTTATTGTCAAAGGCAGAGTGACACATAAAGACTCAAGATTTCCATGGACTCTTAAGTCCCACTGTTATTATCCACCCTTCTTTCTGCACCTCAAATCCTGTTGTCTTCTACATTCTGTGAAATTGGACTAAGGAGCATGAGTTCACTAACCCTCCACACTTCAGGTTCTTCCCTGTGGTCCTGTAACAGGTCAGTTATCATTCAAAGGAAATTCTAGGGTTTCCTTACCTGAGACCAGGAGTTCTAGGTTGTTACTGGGTACTGACCACAGATGGGAGCTGTTCTGGTAATAGCCATAGCATGTGAACCTCCATCTCTGGTTGGGAGTCACATGATCTACTCGGAACAGGGCCTGGAAAACACCACTGTTTGTGTTCCATACTGGCATGGCCCTGGAGAATTTCTCATCTTCCTTCATTAGAATGAAACTGTTGTATTTCTCTTTTGAGGAGCACTGAAGGGTCACATAACCTCCAGAGATCACCACAGGACTGGTCAGGGAATTCAGGGTGACTTTGCTGGAGTGGACGCCTAAGATGAAAGAAGAATCCTGTTAAGTAAATTATTTTGGCTAACATTGTACCTCCTGTTGTGGGGTTGAAAGAGAACTGCACAGTTAATAAATTCCTTTCCTAAAGGTATATCTCAGTGTTCAGGAAGGGTCTTCTCACCTGTCACAACTAGCTCCAGGGTATCACTTTGTTTTGATATGCCAGAAGGGCTTTTATAGAAACAGGAATATTGGCCTGCATTGTGACTTTCAATTGATGAGATAAAGATCCTGTGTTTTTCCTCAGTGTCTTTATGACTTGTTGGTACCTGAGAATCTGGGTATCCTTCTTTATATAAATGGTATTCTTGGGCATTTGAGGGACCTTCACAAATTATAGTTACTTCAGTCCCAATGGTTACCACATTCCTTGGCACAGCTCTGAGTGTGGGTTTAGAGAGTCCCCCTGAAAAAATAAAACAGAACAAGAAAAAACAAAACAAACAAAGAACAACAACAAAAATGGGAGTTGGGTCTGAGGACATTTATCTTAAAACCAGTCTCTCATCTTCAATACCTTTCTGGCAACACCAGCATCATCCCACACCAGCTCTTCTACATATCTTTTCTTCAGAGGGTACCTTTGATTCTTACTGATGATGCACACCCTATGACAGCTGGAAAGACACTCACCTGCCAGCACTGGGATCCTGGGGACCAGACTGAGACCTAGAAGAGAGTTACCTGTGAGTGCATGCAGCTGAAATCTGAGCAGGACCTCCACTTTCAGATCCCTTCTGAGCTACTGAGACATCCTGATGGGCCAATGCTTGACTGTGAGGTGGATTTCCTCTCATAATTGAGTTTTTTTCCCTCTCCACAACTCCCTTTCTCACCAAGACAAAGCAGAGCTGTGAGGGTGGAAGTCATAGCATCATCCAGTTGCCAAAAGTTTGCAAATGGTTGGTCCCCTTGCCAAATGAACAGACACTAAGTAGATGGTCTTCACAGTCTAGTGTCTCTTTCTTAGTGTGAGTATATTATACAGGCAGTTCTTGCATAAAAGAAATTGCTCTTTCTAGGCAAATGATTTTGTTTTCCCAGTGCTGTGAAGGGTGGGGCTCCGAAACATGTGGTCTCTGATTCTGTGTAGTTCTTTGGCCTGAATTCTTGTTTGTGACATAAGGCCTATTTAAACTCAAGTAAGTCTCAACCTCCTCCTCTTTTTCAGTCAGCTTCCTGTCTTCTAGAATTGCAAACCCATATCTGATTGTGGTCTCCTTTTGCAAAATATCTCACTTACACCAATAGATATCTATTTGGATGGTCTTCTTCACCATTATTTAGCAAAAAATAATCCTAGTCCCTTCCTGAGTCAACACCCACAGCTGAGGAGGTTCAGAACTGATCTTTGTCTGTCAGACCTTCTTGGTTCTCGATCACTCTTTCAGTCAGACTACCCTCATAATGCTTTAGGATTTTTCTCAGGATCTCAGCTGCCTACCCAGCCCCAAATATGCTTTGGGTATTTTTATAAATTTTTCTTGGGTATAAATGAACTGCTACTTACTCCAGAGTATACATCAATGACAGAGACAAGATTTTACCCAAATTTAGCTGGTGCACCATTGAGTTTTATTAGGGCTTCTTAGAATGGTTTGGGAAAAATTTTAATTTTTTTCCTTGAGACAGGTTCTACTATTTAGTCCTGGGTGTTCTTGAAGTAACTATGCAGAACAGACTGAAGTTGGACACACAGAGATCAGCCAACATGCCTCTACTTTCCAAGTGCTAGGGTAATGGTGTGCTCCACTATGCCTGGTAACATAGAAAATTTTCAGAGGTTATATCACTTTCTACAGTAGGGTTTTATTTGTGTATAGTTACACTGGGAGAGCAGTAATCTCAGGAGACTCCGCATTATGAACAAACACGGATGACACCAATCTTGTATTGGTCACCTGTATGCCATGACAGCTACTGACACTTGAAGGACAAGAGTCATGCCATTTTCTGCAGAGCAGTGGTCCACAGCAAAGGAAGATGCAGATTGCTGCTTCTGGAAAGATACAGTACAGAAGGGACACACTGAGCCCATGATCCTTCAGCTCAAATAGATGAGCACAGTGGATTCATGCACACAGACTAGGAAGAAACATCATATTCTCAATGCCTTAAATTTTCTTCAGTCCTGCTGACCCCTTCCCCTATAGGTTAACTGTCATTTTCTTACTGACATATGCCATTTTCCTAGAAATAACATTAGTAGAATTATTACATCTTTGGTGGTTCTCTTTCCTATTTAAGAATTTTTTTGTTAATGTTGATTTTGGTTTAATGGCTGCCTATTCACAACTATCCATTCCACCTTAAATATTACTAGTATTTCAAATCAAAACAACTCTGAGAGTTTTCAGTAGTCCTCATTGTCCTCTATGTTCAACAAGTCCGGTTTTATCCCATGCTTTTTCAGGGGACAATGAGGACTACTGAGAACTCAAGAACAATGGCAATGGGTTTTTGATCCTACTGCATGTACTGGCTTTGGGGGAGCCTAGGCAGTTTGGATGCTCACTTTACTAAACCTGGATGGAGATGGGTGGTCCTTGGACTTCCCACAGGTCAGGGAACCCTGATTGCTCTTTGAGCTGATGAGGGAGAGGGACTTGATCGGGGGAGGGGGAGGGAAATGGGAGGCGGTGGCAGGGAGAAAGCAGAAATCCTTAATAAATAAATAAATTTAAAAAAAAACAACTCTGAGATTCCATCTTATACCTGTAAGAATAGGCAAGATCAAATACACTGATGAAAACTTATGCTGGAGAGGTTGTGGGGTAAAGGGAACTCTCCTCTGTTGCCGGTGAGAGTAAAATATGGTATAGCCCCTTTGGTAATCAGTATGGAAATTTCTCAGAAAATTAGGAAACAATCATCCTCAGGACCCAGTAATACCACTTTGGGGTATATATCCAAAGGATGTTCAATCATGCCACAAGGACACGTGCTCATCTATGTTCATAGCAGCTTTGTTTATCATAGCCAGAACCTGGGAAAAAAGTAAATGCCCCTAGACTGAAGAATGGATAAGGAAAATGTGATACATTTACACAATGGAGTATTACATAGCAGAAAAAAAATAACATCTTGAAATTTGCAGACAGATGGATGGAGCTAGAAAACATCATTTTGAGTGAAGTAATCTGTTGAAGGAGAGAGGGCCTACTTTTGGTCCCAGCCACCAGGCTAGCTTACACCCAAAATAATCACACAGAAACTGTATTCATTTAAACACTGCTTGGCCCATTAGTTCTAGCCTCTTATTGGCTAACTCCCAAATCTTGATTCAACCCATTTCTAATAAAGTGTAAGTCACCACAAGGTCATGGCTTACCGGGCAAGATTTAGCATGTCTGACCTGGCAGCTCCATGGCGGCTCTCTCTCTGCCTTCTTCCCAGCATTCAGTTCTGTCTACTCCGCCTACCTAAGTGCTGCCCTATCAAAAGGCCAAGGCAGTTTCTTTATTCAACCAATGAAAGGAACACATAGACAGAAGAACCTCCTACACCACTTTCCCCTTTTTCTTTTTAAACAAAAAGGAAGGCTTTAACATAGTAAAATTACATATAACAAAACAGTTATAAAGCAAGAATTATAGTAACAATATTTATATTTATATTATCTTTTGTCATAACAAAGGAAAATTATAACTATCTATTTTTCAACTTCATCAGTGACTCCAGAAGGATATAATATTACCTAAGTAAACAGGAAGTGCATTATAAGCAACTTCCAAAATTTTCGAAATGATGGAGACATCTTGCTTCTTGGACAGTCAAGACAAGTTTTTTTGTACTGTTGGGGCATCCATCTTCATCCTACAGGTCCATAGTATCCAGCAGACATTTCCATGAATCAGGAAATTTTAAAGACAGCTTAGTTACTTTTTTTGTGTGTCCTGCAGAATATCTTGCAGACTCTTTTATGAATCAGGAACCCCAAAAGACCATGTCCCCTTTAGGCAAGTTCAGCAGTCATCTATCTGTGGGTACTGCATGTCCAGTTTATGCATCAGTCCAGGTAAAAGCAGTTTTTTGCCCAAATGGCTAACCAACTCCATACGGAGCCTCTTCGATAACCATCTGTCTCAGGAAGCAGCTTGCCACTGCCAGGAGCAGATGTGTCTCATTGTCATGAAAAGCCCTAAGTTATTAAAACATTTTAAATGTCATATTCTATAGTCTTTGAGAGATATGAAGAATGCCTATCCATCTGAAATGCACATCTAGAAAATCTAACATGACTACAAGCTTGACTATTATTGATGATTATTTATTAACAACATATATTTCCTAATTATACATTAAATTTGTAATAGAACTATACAATCAAAATACCTTAATCAAGAGCAGAAATATACATATAACAAGATTGAACTTAAATTTATATCAATAAAGCAAAATCCATAAAAATGCAAATTATGCATATCTATATAATATCCCCCTTTAAATGTAAAAAACATTTATAAAGAATATTTAGGTATTGTTGAAGGAGAGAGGGACTGCTTTTGGTCCCCACCACCCAGCTAGCCTGCACCCAAAATAATCACACAGAAACTGTATTCATTTAAACACTGCCTGGCCCATTAGTTCTAGCCTCTTATTGGCTAACACTTGCATCTTGATTCATCCCATTTCTAATAAACTATAAGTCACCACAAGGTCATAGTTTACTGGGAAAGATTCAGTATGTCTGACCTAGCAGCTCCATGGTGGCTCTCTTTCTGCCCTTCTTCCCAGCATTCAGTTCTCTCTATACTGCCTACCTAAGTTCTGCCCTATCAAAAGGCCAAGGCAGTTTCTTTATTTAACCAATGAAATCAACACATAGACATAAGAACCTCCTACACCAGTAACCCGGACCCAGAAAGATAATTATCATATCTACTCATTCATAAGTGGTTTTTAAACATAAAGCAAAAAAAAAACCCTACAAATCACAATCTCAGTGAACCTAGACAACAAGAAGGATGCTAAGAGAGACATATATGGATCTAATATACATGGGAAGTAGAAAAAGACAAGATTTCCTGAATAAATTGGGAGCATGGGGACCATGGAAGAGGGTTGAAGGAAAGGGGAGAGGTAAGGAGATAAGCAGAGAAAAATGTAGAGCTCAATAAAAAATAAAATAAAATAAAAATAAAAACAATAAAAAGCATGAGATGGCCTGCCTCCCAAATAAATGTTGCTAGCATTTTATCTCTGAGCCGCAGCATCATTCTGAATGTCCAATATTAACCTCACCTTATACTGTTTTTATGGCCTCAGGAGTGTTTCTATTCTGGAGATATGCAGGATTGTTGAACTTTTAGATTGTATTATGTTTTTGTTGGGATATATATTTCTTGGTCTTATAAATGGTATAAATGAAGCGCCTTTTTCTGTTCTCTTCATTTCCCCATGGAAAACATATTAAGTCTAAATTGTAAAGGTTATCAAATCTTGAGCCCAAAAATAGAACTTAAATTAAAGTTTCCAAAATACAGAAGATTCCATGTTCAAGAAAAGAATGGTAAAGTGCCAGGTTCTACCTTCATGAAGAATCACTGCACCAAGATGTGCTCCTCCATAGTGTGATATGGGATTCCCCTCTGTATGCTGTGAATACCATTGGTTAATAAAGAAGGTGGTTGGGCCTATGACAGGGCAGAATACAGTTAGGTGAGAAAAGTAAACTGAGTGCTGGTAGAAAGAAGGCCAGTGAGTGAGAAGCCATGTAGCTGCTGCAGGAGACAGAAACTGCATGCTAGAAAGAACATTACCAGTAGGCCACAACCATGGATTAGTAGAAATGGGTTAAGATATAAGAGCTAGCCAATAAGAAGTGTGAACTTATAGGCCAAGCAGTGTGGTTACAATACAGTTTCTGTGTGCTTATTTTGGGTCTGGGTGGCCAGGAAATGAATGAGTAGCCTTTGCCAACAGCAGTGAGTGTTGTAGGTTCAGAGCTCCAAGAGATTGTTTGTATCTGTAAGGCCCATGCTCTATTTACAGATGGGTATTTGGATAATTCATCTTACTGTGTTGTTCCCTCAAAGACAGTAAAATATAGTAGTTTCTACTTTGCTCCGGACATGTCTTATGTGTAGGCATCAGTTTCAGTTTGAAAGTTACACTGTACTCATCCATACCAGGAATGTATCCAGTAGCCCACATACATAATCCAAGACATTTTCTTCATTTCAAGGTCTACTGACTGACATCAAGATAACCAATCTCAATGGAGATCTGATCTGGGCACTGGGAGACCCATCTTTGGGCTTGCATCCAGACTCCCCCC